TGGCAGCCTCTCAGGAGACCAGTTCCCACCCCATGCTGGAGAGTGTTTTCATCCACGTCTGGAAGAGGTAAGAGGAGCCAGAAACTATAGGCATGGGGCTAGGAAGGGCCCATACTCCAGGACTTGTAGCCAGTCTTCCCTAAATGGCAGAACTGCCTGAGCTCAAGTCAGGCAGGGCAGCAACCTAGGCAGGGTGAGTGGCAGAATGTTCTGGAAGCAGGTGACATCAAGAGCCTTTGAGAAGGCTCATCAGATTTTGTTTGATGCACTGTGTGACCTTAGACAAGTCACTGAATCTCTTTGAGTCTCAGTGTCCTCAACTGTGAAATGGGGCTGATCGTACCTATCTATCTCCCAGATCAGAAATAATATTTGTCCCAGTTGAGTGTTGTGCCTGGCACCTAGCATGCACTCAATACAGAGGAGCCGTATTTGTAGAGTTCAGAGTTCTGACTCAGTTCTGGTGGCATTAGCATAGCTGGATTTCCTGAGGAAAGGCCATTGAGTTTCGGTCGGGTAGAGCTCTTGAGCTAGAATGTGGGGTGCCTTGGGAGCTCTGAAAGGAAGGAGAAAAGAAAGAGAAAATGCCACCCAGAAAGAAACTTCACAGTATCTGTCCATTGCTTTGTCCTCACCCAAAACTGGCTATATAATTTGAGGAGCTCACTGATAAATGGACATGTGGAGCCCCTTGTTCAAAAATCATTAAGAATTTCAAGATGGTGCCAGCAGAGTATTGAACCAAGCACAGAGCATGAGGCCCTGTGTGATTGCAGAGGTCACACACCCCTAATGCCTGCCTTCCACTTACACGTTGCCAGAGTGCAGTATGTGGCGCCAGAGCTTGGCAATGTTCTATTCTCCCCAGCAACCTCTCTCCCTACCTGCACCAGGCTTGATGGGGTCTTGGAAACGTCCAAGGAGGGAAAGGGATGTTGGAGCTGATTGAAAATACCTCTACCTGAGCTCCAAGTGGTGTCATGAACAAGTACATACATAATATAGCAGTTAAGTGCAAATTTGGAATGTGTATGTGTGTATAAAGTTGCTGTTGCATGGTTCTAGTAGTTACAGGAGTGTTGCCATGGTGATTGGCAGGGCCAGCTGTTGTTTCATTTCCCCCAAAGAAGTGTATGGTAGTAATAGACCCCTGGAGAGTCCTCCTGGGACAAGGAATGATGTTAAAAAAAATCTGCCAATTAATGAACAGGTAGTATAAACTGACTTCATACTCATTTGTTGTAATTAACAGGATTTTACAGGCTTTTGATGAGAAGTGGTTAATTTGGTATAGAAATGTGGAGGGTGGACTACTTTTGGAGCCTGGGTTTGAATCTGCACTGTGTCACTAAATAGCTGCATCACTTAACTCCTCTGAGCCTGTCTCCTTATTTAGAAAATGGGGATCATTACACCAAATTTGGAGGAGCATTCAAAAGAAAGGATATGAAATGCTTAGCTCAGTTTCTGGAGCATTGTAGATGGATACTACATGGTTGCTATGATGCTGAGATATTAATGAAATCATCATCATCATAATCATCATAAAGCTTCCATTTATTGAACGTTTCCACCTATATGTCCCTATGTTGTGTACGTTATCTCATTTAATCTTTATAACAACCCTATCAGTAAGTCCACTGTTATCCTCATGTTATAGATCAGGACACAGAGGTTAAGAGATTTGCCTGAGGTCACACAGCTAGTAAATGACAATGTCAGGATTCAAATTCAGGCAGTCTAACTCCAGAGCCCCGGCTTTTAACCCTTATACACAGTGCCCCTGGGATGAGGATTAATAAAGACATGAAGCCTAAGAGACATGCATTTCTGGCTTTCAATTGGCTCTGAAAGATTGGTCCTTGATGAAATGGAAACTTTGCTCCCTTTTGTAGCAAGGGCAGTGGTGGGGTGGGATGAAGGAGGGAGATTGTTGTAATAAGCACGTCTGATGGGGGCTGCACTGTGGACCAGCCTTGCTCTGTCTCAGGGGTTCAGCCTTCTCTTCCTGAGGCTGTCCTGCTGATTCCTCTGGAGTTGCAGCAATTCCTACCCTGGCCTGATCCATGGGTCAGAATCAGGGTCAGGATGAGTCAAGGCTGAATCATTGACTACTCACTCTAATGGCCCTTCCTCCCCAGGGCTCTGTTGATGCCGACCTTTGTCCTCTTCCAAACTAAAGAAAAACAAGTAAGCATACAAGCACAAAACCAGCCCATTGGACTTCTTGCTAATCCTATTTGGTTATTTAAGTGTGGCAGGTACCTTCTCTCCTCAGGGCCTTTGCACATGTTTCTACTCTCTCCTCCCAGGCTTCTCTTTGCAGTTCTCATTCTCAGTCCCATTTACTGTTGGACGAGTTCCTAATCACCCTTCATATCTACATGTAAATGTTACTTCTTCAGGGAAGCCTTCCCTGATTATCTTCCACTCCAGACTCCAAGTTCCCCTTCATGTACTCCTACAGTCACCTGTCTGCCTTTTGTAGCACTTAATCAGAATTTTAATTAAATGATTATGAGTGTAATGATTTAAGATTTGTCTCTCTCAATAAATGTTTTATTCACTATTGAATCCCCAAATGCTTATAACAATGGCTGACTCTGAATTTGTTAAATAAATGAACTAGCAAGTAAAACCTCCAAAATCTCACCATCCACCCTGGGGGAAAATCTTATGCTTTGCAAGGTGAGCCCTTCATAACTTTCCTAGCTTCCTTAATATTGTGGTCCTACTAAGTGTTCAGGAGAAAGCAAACAAAACAAAATTATTACATAACTCAGTAGTTTGAGAAGGAAGAGCAGAAAGTAAAATTATTAAGCATCTACCACATATCTGGGCTTGTGTTTCTCATTGTATCCTCAAAAACCCTGCAATATAGAAGAAATTACTTGCATGTGACAAATGAGGAAACAAAAAAGAAAAAGGACAGAGCATTAGGACATGTCAGTCCCTTACTCTGGAATTCAGTGTCCTCTTCTGTAAAATGGGGTTGGGGATGAGTGAGCGAGGCAACCCTTAAGGTCTGTGCCAACTCACTTTCCTTTGGAGGTTTTGTCCCCTATTGTTTATTTGTGTGTGTGTGTGTGTGTGTGCGTGTGCATGTGCGCATGCAAGTGCACAAAATCATCTTGGACAGGAGCTATGTCATTAGCTTGAATGCTTGGGCCTCAAACCCTCAAAGGAGGCACCTTGGATAATTACATTATGGAGTTTGAGCAGGGGTGTGTGTGTCCTGTGCACCCTGGGAAGGCTGTAATGTCTTGCTCAGCTTTTACTCTATTCCATAGAAAGGATTATAAAGGGATTAGATGCAAATGCACTTAAGATTTGGCTGATTTAGGCTTGTATTCCCGCACCGATGGTTGGGATATTTATTCAACCTGATATTGCAAGATGTTTTTCCTAGGTGAGAGCAGGCACTGCGATAAATGATAATGCAATCAGTAGCAGCAGGCAAGATGAGAAGATAATCATTTGCCTCACCTTCCTTTTGCTGGTTCTTTAGATTTCATCAGTGTTTCCCCCTTTAAGCCTTAGAATCACTGCCCCTAAAACTCTAAGGAGAAAATGAAATGTTATTCTAATTCTCTGGGCAGTTGAGCCCCTGACATTTGCTAGAATTCCTTTAATCTTGCCCAAAACATTCAACTGGGAAGGAAATGGGAAAAAAATGTTATGAGCTGGGTTTAGCAGGCAGGGACCCACCTTCAAGAATGGGTCTGAGGTCTTTTCTCATTCCTGGGGTCATTCTTTTACTGGGCATTAGCATTTTCCAGGAGGATCTATCAAATGTTTCAGTTATTTGACTTTTGCAGGTGCAAACAGACTGTTAGGTGAGACTGGAAAACTAGAAGCTATTATGCAAGTTGGAGAAATACCAGAAGAACATTTTAAATGGAAAACAGGGATCAAGAGAGGTTATGCAAAGGAGAATGTGGGAGAAAGAAACACAGGAGTGGTTGTGGATCTGTGAGGGGATGAGGGAAACCATCTTAGGAGATACAGTAACAAATCTATAGCTCTCTGTTCTAAGCACATTATGTGTGTGAACTCATTAACCCTCACCGTTACACTATGAGTTTGGTACTATTTTTATGTCTATTTTAAACATGAGGAAGCTGGGGTCCAGAGAGGTTGTGGACGCTGTCCTAAAGCCTACATGAGAGTCAGTGCTCTGTACTGATTTGTTGTCTCCTTCTTTGATAACAGCAGTAATCATTACAACCATGACAGCATTAATCACAGTGGCTGCAATTCACTGTTTACCATTAGCCAGGCTCTGTGCTGAGTCCTTATGTCAGGCTATCCTAGCAGATGCCTCACAGGTTGTAAATATTTTTATTCCAAATTGTACAGGTGAGGAAACAGGTGAGAGGAGGTTAATTAGGTTGGCAGAGATGGCACAACAGAGCCAGCGCTTAACCCAGGACTGCCCCAGTCCGAAGTCCATTGGTCATGGTGCCCTGTGTATTGTGGCAGGGCCAGCACTTTTTGGGCAACAGCTTACCCAGCCCAGGGCTGATCATTTTGTATTTTTCATCTAGGGACACTGGAAAGTGGTCAGCTCTTCTCTTCTTGCTTCTCATGGCTGGGTCTCTTGCGTTATCCTTGGCAGCTGTGTAATAGGCACACAGACCAATGAACGCAGAGGAATAGAGGCAAGGAAGGGGAGTACTTAGAATTATGAGGTTTTCACTTTTATTTATAAACTCGAAAAGGGCTGGAATTACACGATATTTATTTGCATACAGCTTTGTGATGTACAATGTGTGTTCGCATGCTCTATCTTTTTTAATCCCCATGTAAGGCAGTGAGATAGACTTGATTTATTAGTCTTGGTTTTAGGCTGAGGAAGAAGTCCAGGAGGTTCAAGTGACTCATCAGGATCACACAGCCAGAAAGTAGCAAAGTCTGTTCCTGACTCCAAGTCAGTAGGTTTTGTCAGTCTGTGGTTGTCGTTGGAGAGAACAGTTAGGAGACTCATGGACTAACACAAAAGGAATGAATGGGAGAGCAGGCAAAGGTTTGAACCTGCCTTGTTATCCCATAGGACAGGTAGCCCCACTGGCACCATGGCTCCGGCAGGCAGACAAACCCCAGGATGCTTAAACTGGGATCCAGGGAGGCTTATGTGAAATGTCCAAAATAGACCAGTTTATGGAGACAGAGAGTAGATCAGTGGTTGCCTAACGTTGGAGAGGGGTAGGAGGGGGAAAGGGAGTGACTGCTAATGAATACAGAGTTTTCTGGGGTGAAAGGTGATTAACTCTTCTAAGACTGATCATGATGGTGGTCGCACAGTTCTGTAAATATGCAAAAAAACCATCAAAATTGTAGCAGGGAGGGCTAGTGCGTGAGGAACTCCAGGTTGGGAAGCAGGAGCTATTTCCTACAGGCTTTCTGGTCCATAAAGCCTCTGGAAGCAGACGCTGTTTACTTCTCACCGAGCAGTAATTGCTGTTTCTCTGCCAGTCTCCATTGCCCTTCTTTCTGTTCTGGCCTGGCAGGTGGTGCTGTAGGGAGAAGCCAGAATAAAAGAACCTCTCGTTGCCCAGGCCTGGGTTCCTGGTGGTGACTCCCTTGGGCCTGCACCACTGATGGAACCCTGCCAAGCTCTGCAGCCTCCCCCAAGCCCCAGGCCCTGTGATCCAGCATGGCCACCAGCCTTTCCCTTCTGACCCAGGATACATCAAGCCCAGCCTGAAGAGCAAACGCCTGTGCAAAGACTGCTTGCCAAATAAGAATGGACATAGCCAGTAACAACACATTCTGGGGGCTGTGGCCAGAATTCTGCACATTGCCCTCTGGGTCCCCGCCTAATGCCTTTTTTACCCCAGCCCAGTCTTTGACAGTGCTTTGCATGGACAGGTTCCAAAGGAAATAGATAAACTCTCTGTTTCCCTTCCCATGAGGAAACCACTTCATTCCCTGGAGAGCTGTCTACCTAGGAGGCTCTGTTAGGACCGTGAGGGGTGGAAAGAGGGGAGTGTCTGAGCAACTCTGAGAGCTGGGGGCTGCAGGGAGGATGGCAGTTTGTCTTCAGGGAAAACAGCCTTGCATGGGCTGTAAAGTGAAACTTACAGCTGGCAGCTTGCTTTCGTGGGAAGATTCTGGGTACAGAGGCTGGGGCTTAATTAGAGACAGAGACTAAAACTGGCCCCCAGGAGAAGAGACTGAGCAAGGTGGGCCGTAATGGTAAATGCCTCTGAGGTGCCAACTGCCAATGGCCCATATGTCTGGGGAGAACCAGAGAGGGAGGCTACATGGCGGGGAGGGAGGCAGGGAAAAAATTAAAAAGGAAGGGTCCCATCCCCTGCTGATAGGCTAAAACCACAAGGTAACTGTTCTGCATTCACATTTTATTTTAGGATCTTAGAATGAAAGCTCAATTAACTAGAATGGGGCAAAATGACAAATTTGAATTGTTGAATAACTCAGGACCAGGTGGAAGCCACTTTTCTGTTTCAACCTTTGCCAGGAAAAAAGAAAATGTTTGAAAATACCTTGGTCTCCTTCTCCTTGTCAGTGCTGGAGAGGGTTTCCCAGCAGTGTGTGTTCATACTGACATGCCACACAGCCCTTCACAGGCATGCCACCCGACTGAGCACATCAGCACATGATATTGCATTTTGCAATAATTGAATACTTGTGCTGTGACGCTGGCTTGGATGATGCTGCAAAGAGAGGGATCCAACCTGTAAAGAAGTAAAATAGTGAATCCCTTTGATTTTCTTGAGATATGTGAGAACTTTGCTTTGGAAATATGCAGGGGAGCCCAAGAAGGATGACACATAATTCTACCTACACAGAGACCCAGGCTGGGGTGGGGGCGGTGTGGAGGTGACTAGAACCTTGTGATTTCTGCGGATGCATTTCTGGACCATGCATGACAAGTGTGATGACCCGCCATTTTTATAGAAAGGGTGAGACTTGCTTCAGCTGCAGCAATGATGATGTTATTCTTATTGACTTGTTTGGTGGTGTTTCACGTTTCTTTATCTCTTCCAGTGTGTCATCCACAGTTTTTGCATTCAAAGGGGTGTTATTCTCAAGCAGAAAAAGTTGAGACCCACAGGTGTTGAAAAGCAGGTAGAATGTGGAATAACCCCAATCTTTGCAGTGGCCATTTGCATGGAAAACTGTAGAGTAGTGCTACTTTGGGAAGCCCTGCTGGTTACACAGTCAGATCCCAGGGTGATGGCACCGTGGTGTGGCTGCCACACTCCTTCCATTGTGCATCAGCAGCAGGGCATTTCCGTGGAGGGGACAGGGTGGTGTCCTGGGCTAGGGTGTGGCCTAAGGGGATCTAGTGGTGTAGATAGTCATGGGCCCTGTCACCATGAAGCACACAGATGCTTGGCACACTATGTAAATCTCTCCCTTTCGATGCTTCCATTAATTTTGTTTCTTTTGTGGACCAACTATTATGGGTTGACTTGGGTCCTCTAAAAAGCTATGTTGAAGTCCTAACCCCTAATTCCTCAGAATGTGACCTTATTTGGAAATAAAGTCATCACAGGTGTAATTAGTTAAAATGAGGTCATTTGAGTGGAGTAAGCCCTTAATCCAATATGACTGGTGTCTTTATAAGAAAAGGACAGAGACACACACGGGATGGGCAACTCTGTGCAATGAAGAGGCAGAGATCGGAGTGATGCAGCTGTACACAAAGGATGCCAAGGCTTGACAGCCACTACCAGAAGCTAGGAAGACGCAACGAAGAATTCTACCCCAAGCTCCAGAGGGAGCACGGACCTGCTCACACCTGGATTCTGGACTTCTAGCCTCCAGAAATGTGAAACAGTAAATGTCTGTTCCTTTAAGCCATCCAGTTTGTGGCAGCCCTAGGAGACTAATATCCCAGTCTCTACCCTGCCCCAGCATTTCAGCCTGATCCATATATTTTCTTTTAAAATGCTCAGATTTGCACCAAAGTTAGCATCTAGGCCTGCAGGCTGGGGGCTATTCTGCCTCCTCATGATGCTTTTGCACAGCTCTGCTCCAGTGTGCATTGTGTTTGTCTTGGAGGGTGCCTCTAGCAGGAAAATCTTAATGTTCTCATTTTCAAGCTTGGAGGGAGACCGTTGTTCTCAGTACTAAAACAACAATTCTGTTTACCCAGGGTTTAAGTAACATTTTCTCACCAGATCCTCTCAACACACATTCTGCAGCTCTTTAACATTGCGGTTTTTCTGACCTTATTTTTACAGACATTTTAGGTGAAAATATTTATCAATCCCCGATCCAATTCTCCCCGTTAGGTCGCAGGATTCTTCACACAGCCTAGAAGCTGCTGGAATGACCAGAGTACACTTTCTCCACATCTCAGAGAGACCAACTCATTAGCTGTTTTTATTACTGACATTTTATTTGAAGGTACATTTGACATTTAACCTTAGGAGATGGTCCCTAAATCCATTATGCATTTACTGCCTCAGTGGGACTCACAAAGGAGAGAATTCTGGGTGGCAGGCCAGGCTCTGGGAGAAACTTCCAGCGCCAGGCCAGTCCCCAACATTGATTCACTTCATGTTCTCTGGAAGTCTCCTGCCCACAGCAGCTGCTCCTTCAAAGAGGGAAACGCTTTGGACTCATGAGTTGAACCGGAAGGGATGGCTGCAGCCCAGGTAGGCCCAGGCTGTGCTCTGGGCTGAAGTGGGGGCATGAGGAGGAGCTTTGGGGGCCTCTGAGCTGTTCAGTTCTACTTATCCACACTTCATTTTAAAATGGTGCAAGGTGACTGGGAGTTTGGAAATCTAGGTTATCAAGCTAGCTGAATGTATGACTTTGTAAAGTAAGAAGTTAAGAGCATGACCTTTGGGGTTTGGCTACCAGCTCTGAACATGACTAGCCATGTGAATCTGGGCAAATTATATAACCTGTATAAGCTTCAGTCTCCTCATCTGTAGAATGGATGGAGTGGTAGAGGGAGATATTCTTAACCTCACACAGCCAGTGTGGAGAATAAAAATTATCATATTTATAAAGCACATAGCACAATGTCTGGTACACAGGAGTAAATGAAAGCAGGCATTATTTTTCTGGGCAACTCACTGTGTATCTCTGGACCTCTCTTTTTCCATCTATAAAATGGGAGCTCACAGCACTTACAGCTCAAATGTTATATTCTATGAGGGAACTTGCAGCCTCTCTGTCCTCTACATCAACCATGTATTGTCTCTGCTTCTGTCTTTTACTTTTCCATCATTTTATTTTTAACTGTATTTTTTCGTAATCATGAACACAATTTTTAAAGCACAAACATAGAAAAAGAAATTTAAAAGTCTACAATTTCAGAACCCAGAGAACATTTTCCAGTATCACTTTCCGGTTTCTACATATCCTTTTTTCACTTTGTAATTTCATGTGAACATCTTCCCAGATGCTAACTGCTCTTCGGCAGCATCTTAAATAGTTTGACAACCCAGAGTACAAAGGCCTTGAAAATTATTTGACAAAATGTATATTATGAATACTAAAATAGTTTTCAGTTTCTCCCTGATACAAATGACACTGTAAGGAGGTTACTGTGATTCAGGAAGTGATGCTGGAGGCTTGGGTCAGGTGGAAGCAGGGGGATGGTGGGAAGTGGTAGGACTGTGGTTGCTCTGAAGGTAGAGCTGGGAGGATTTGTTGGTTGATGGGATGAGGCATGTGAGTGACAGAAAGGAATCAAGGTTGACTCCAAGGGTTTCAGCCTGAGCAACTAGAAGAATGGGCTTGCCATTGACTGAGACGGGAAAGGCTGCACATGCAGCAGGTTTGGGAGAGAATAGCAGGAATTTGGTTTTAAAGTGTTACTGTGGAGAGGTCTTTATATGTGCAAGTGGAGATGTCAAATAGGCAGGTGGAGATATGAGCATGGAATTCAGGAAGATATCGTGGCTGGAGATATAAATTAGGATGTCATCAATGTGTAGAGATGGACTTAAAGACTTGAGATCAAATGAGATCTCTAAGAGACTCCAAGAGCTGCAGAACTCAGAACAGCTTCTACCACATCATGGGGATCTTTTGTCTTTCTGCTGCAAGTACATGATGACTTAGGCCGCTTTTTTCTTAAGCCAGTGGTGTGGTATTCAAGTTTAAGCCCCACTATACCAAATGAACTGCCACCTTTCCTAACCACTCCCACCCCCAAAGTCCAGAACCGCCACCCTCACTAACAACACCTTGGGCAGGAAATCACAGAAGCCTTTCTCAGCTGAGGATAAAAGAGGCTTAAGTTGTGAACACTTTTAAGACTGATTTATTTACAGCCTATAGGATTGTGCTAATTTGTGCACCTTGCTTAATTCTTCACCACAACTCATTTCTTTGTTACAAGCAGAATGAGCCACCTCTACTTTCCCTGTTTCATTTCCCTTTGGCTGATGTTGTGGGACGGGAGCATGGGGGTCCAGGGGAGATGACAGAATGCACTCGCAATTTTGGCTGGCTCTATTTTGGTCTCTCTGACTGTTCAACAACCTCTGCAGAGAAAGAGTAGGAGAAATGAGGACTGCAATAAAGCCAAGGGGCTCCCTGCTGGACTGCTGTTTCTATCCCGATGAGGACCTGAGGTTCCAAAGGCTGGGCAACAGACCAAGGTCACTATATACAACATACCCAAGTATTCATGTCAGCAGTGGGGTTTTATGAAATTTCAGTGAACAAACAAGAAAGAGATAATGGTAGATGAAGCTATTAACAGAGTTAAAAAGATGAAATTTCAGCTGGGCATGGTGGCTCACACCTATCATTACAGCATTTTGGGGGGCTGAGGTGGGAGGATCAACTGAGCCCGGGAGTTCATGAACAGACCAGGCAACATAGCAAGACCCTCTCTCTACAAAAAAAAAAAAAAAAAAAAAAAAAAGAAAAAAGAAATGGGTTTTGCAGAAGAGAAAGGATATGGATTGGTGAGAAAGTAGTAGAAGGAATCACTGCTAACTCCCTTCTTCTGGCCTGCACAGTCCACTTTCTTGGTTTCTCATGCCTCTGATATGATCACTTTGGAGCCACAGTTTGCAAAACCTCACAGCCACCCTGCTGAAAGCCTGGAGGTTGTGCATGTGAGCATGCCCTGGCGTGGTGTTCCTCCTTTGTGGGGTTTGTCTCTCTAAGTCTTTCTGCCTCTGATTCTGAACTCTCACACATCCTTCAGTGGAATCACCAAACCTCTAGAGTTTCGATTTCTTCAGCTTTTAAATGAGGATGATGATACCTCCTTGCAGAACTTTTGAGAGGATTAAGTAAAACTGCCCACAAATTGCCCATCTGTACCTGGCACTTAGTTCAGTATCATGCACCCCAGACTGACACCAGTCCTGCCTCTCAGGAAGTGGCCAAATTATTTTTAGCCCTGCAAGGAGGAGGTGGTTGAGCATCAAAGGTTCAGGAGTCATTCCAGAATTTCAGGATAAGCCCCCCGAGGTAGGCTAGGCTCTTGGCCAGGCTTATCCAGATATTGCACCAGGCACCAGTGACACACCAAACAGCCAGAGGAGGCTCCTAAAGGAGTGGTTCTCAGTCAGCGTTCTGTGGTTCCCACCCTGGTGTGCCCTAAGACCCTTTGTAGGTAAGAAAGCCCATTAGGATCAATGGGTGAAAATAATCTTGTTATAGCTGAGGATAACTACTGATAGAGACATGTCTGCAAAACTGAACATGGACTGAGCCATAGCACTGGGGAACAACTTTGCATTATGATGGAGGTGTAGAATCGTGTCCAGCCTGTGCCATAGAAAGATAATATGTTTGCTAGGAGCAATAGAACTGTGCTTTGTCAAAATACAATAGAACTGTGCTTTGTCAAAACTGTAGCTGGGGCAGTAAACAATTCCTCTCAAGCAACAGCACAGAGCTGAAGAGGGACAAAGAAGTAGGGTGAATAGAGTGGGCTATTGACTTCTTCCTTCTGGGCTTCAATTTCTTCATTTGGGCATGGAAAGATTAATGGATGTTCAACTTTCCTGGGTAACAGACTTCTAGGGGAATCTCATCAAAGCTTCATTCATTCAGTCATTCAACCATCCATTTATTCAACACATATTTTGTTATGCATCTATGATGTTCCAGACCCACGCTAAATGTTGAGATTCACAGGGAGTAAAGGGGAAACAGCCTACCCTTACCTTGGCTCAATTGACTTTGATTCTGTTATTTAACATTCAGCCCAGGAAGCTCTCCTGACCCACCCCTTCTCTGTGGTTAGATCAGGTACCTCTATCCCATGCTGAGGGCAGCTGCACACCTGCCATCTGTCTGTGCACAGACTGGACGTTACTCCACCTCCAACCAGATGTAGAGTTGTTTTCCACACTGCGCTGCAGTCCGTGGTCTGCCTTACAGCTTGGCTGTGTCAGTAGATGTCCTCAGTTAGAACAAAACACCCTGCCTTTTGTTGGGCTTTTCCTTCACAGCTGTAATTAAATAATCATGTAATTAGTTCATTCACTTGATCATTCAGCAAACATTTATTAGTTGTTTA